TCAACCACACGCCCACCCCTCCCCTGCGGCACAGCTCTGCGGGGCACTCACCTCCGACCCCAGGGTCTGGGCTTTCCAGAGCTGTGTGGAAAGGTCCGGAGAGCTTAGGGTGTGTCCTAAGTGTGGGAATCAGGACCTGGTCAGGTGTGGTCTCGATGCTGACCGCAAGCCAGTCTCTCATCCCATTTCTCCCGCATCCTGCCACACCGCCCAGGGTGAGCCCCCCAGGAGCATCCCCTGCCCCGCAGGGCCTCTTCCCCACTCTGTGCTTGGAGGGGTGGTGAAGGGCCAGCCTGTGCACTCACACAGGGCGCCGCTCCCCTGCTCTGTGAGCTGCAGCCTCCCAGCTCCCCACCCCCATGGGGACTCTGGGTGAGACTCTGGGCGATGGGCCAACCCCTCAGCAGTGGGTGGGCACGAGCGCCTGCCCAAATGGCCACGGCAGCGAGAAAGGTGGGGAGCCCTGAGACACCCCCCCCCCCAGGGACTGGGTAGAACCCCTTATGGCCTGTGCCTCGGCTGGGGACCTCGCTGCTGTGCTAAGGCCGCAGTGCCCCCAGGGAGCAAGCGCCAGGTCAGAATGTTAGGGACGAAGGAGGGGGACAAGACAGACACAAAAATGTGCCCCGCCCACCGGGACCTGGGATGTGTCTGATACACAGAGACCAGCCAGAGGAGCAGGAGAGTGGGGGCGATGGGGGAGGGGGGAGGGCCTTGTCCACTGTGTCCTGCATTGTTACCAGGTGCCTGCACCGCCCACTCAGTGTAGCTGATGAGCAGGAAATGGCCCCCAGTGTGTGAACGGGAGGCCTGGGAGGCCAGGAAGGGCAAGGTACCCGGCCAGCGTCCTACAGCCAATCAGAGCCCAGCCCAGGACCATCCCCCGCCCATTCCCATCACCAGCCTCCCTAGTCCACATCTTCCCCTCTGTCCACAGAGCTGAGCTATAGGGAGGCCAGCCTCTCCCACCTCGAGGACACCTCAGGAAAGCTCCCCCAGGGAGCAGTGAGGAAGTGGGGCACCCTTTGGACAGCCCCAGGCACCCCAGGGGTCAGCAGGCTCACCCTTGTTCATCTGCTCACCGGGAGAGGAGACTGACCCTCCACCCCAGCCCCAGCTCTGTGCTGGGTGCAGGCGTGAGCCCTGTCCTTGAGGAGCAGTTGGCAGGAAGACAGTGACAACCCTATAGAGAAGGGCTGTAGTACAGTGTTCACAGAGCAGAGAGGAGACAGAGTAGGGTGGGGGTGGAGCAGTCAGGGAGGCTTCCTGGAGGAGGAGACACAGAAACTTGTCTCAGAGGGATAAGTAGGAACTGGGGCTGAGGGTAGGGGAGGACGTTTGGGGCCGAGGGAACAAGTGCAAGGACTGGAGAGCTGGAGTGTCTGGGGGACTGGGTGCTGTGGGTGCTGGATGGCTGACTGAGTGGGGAGGCCAGAGGCCTGTGGCAGGAGGTCAGGGACCAGGTAAGGAGCTGTGGATCTGGGGCAGCTCAACCATGACGTGCCTCCGCCCCCTGCCCCGCCCCCAGCCTCACCCACCTCTATCACCACCTATGAGACCTGCCAGACCTACGAGAGGCCCATCGCCTTCACCTCCCGCTCCAGGAAGCTCTGGATCCAGTTCAAATCCAATGAAGGCAACAGCGGCAAAGGGTTCCAAGTACCTTATGTCACCTACGACGGTGAGTGTGGCCCCACTGCGCACCCAGGCTGGCCCTGGGGACACAGAAACAAATCACACCTCCCCGGCCTCAGGGAGCTCCAGCCTTGGGGGACTGTGGGGTCCAGACAGGCCCATAAGGGGGACAGGGTGGTGCAGATGAGGGAGATATTAGTGGTGTCTGCGGGCCCCAGAGGGAGGTGCTACCCAAGCAGGGTTTTGAAGGTTGTATAGGAGTTTTCTAGCTAGTCAAACCTGGAGGAGACCAGTGTGGGTGGAGGAGACAAAGGCACGCAGTCTGAAGCCCTGGGGGAGGGCAGATGCTGAGGGGAGCAGGAGGCAGGAGGGACTTTCGCCTTCAGCCTCTACCCTCACCTTCCTCCCTTCCCCACCGGCGGCCTTCGCAGAGGACTACCAGAAGTTAATAGAAGATATCGTCCGTGACGGACGGCTCTACGCCTCGGAGAATCACCAGGAAATTTTGAAAGTGAGTGAGCTTCGCTATGGGAAGGGATCATATAATCCTGGGATGGTGGCCTGTGATGATCCAGGGCCGGCCCCGCCCCCAGCCCTGCACAGAAGTGAGGAGAGTGATAACAGGAGAAGAGAAGGTGATGGGAGCAGGCTGCCAGGGGCAGGGCTGGTCCAGTGCGTCTGCCCTTCTAGCCCAGGACCTGCTGACGTGCCCGTGGGCAGGTTCCTTACGAGCTCTCGGCCTCACTTTCCTCATCTGTGAAATGGGGAGAGCTCGACAGCGTGGTCTCTTAAAATCAGGAGATTCCTCCGCTGCCTTTGAGACTGACTCCCTCCTCATCCTGCCCACATCCTCAGAAGTAGAGCCACCTAGTCATCCGGGGGCTGTGGCCATCACACGGCGGGCACAGGCCGGGTCAGGGCCCAGGTTGTCACCGTGAGGAGCCAGACTCAGGGATCTGCTTGGGCTCTGGGGTCCGGGCCTCGGCCCAGCCCTGGGCAGACAGCACCCCCAGCCTGGGAGCCGAGGGTGGCGTGGAAGGTAAGAGCGGGGCCGGCCAGTCCCTCACTAACTTCTGCTCCAGCTGCCACCTCCCAGCTGGGCGGCCCCGGCAAGCTGTCTGAGCCCCGCCTCGCGTCTGAGAAACTGGGATGGCTCACAGAGTCTCCGAGCTCAGGCCTGGAGCACTCCTGCACACAGTAGGCAGTTGGTGAGCCAAGAGGTTTGCCCCCTGCTGCCCTACCCGGATGAGACCTGGGGATCTCGGGGCACGAAGCCCCTCGTCGCCCTCCTCAGGTACCTGTCTGTTTAGTGGGAACCAGAGGGTCGTCCTGGCCTCTCCGACTCTGTCCTGTTGGCGGTGCCTGACTCTCTCGTCCTCGCCCCGGCCCTCTGCCCTCAGCTCCACCCTGCAGCTGGGAGCATCTTTTCAGAGCTAGAAGTGTTCCCATCTCTTAGGACCAAGCCTTGGCCAGCGAGGCCCAGCCTGGCACAGCTACCACCTGCCTCCGTGGCGGCTCTCAGGCCTCCGCTCCCCACCTCACTGGCCACGGCCTCCCAGGAACGCTCGCCCCGTCCTCTCCTCAGTGGACATCCTCCCGTCCCTGCTGCTCTCAGCCCAGGCGTCCTATCCTCTGGGCCTCCCTAGCCAGGTTGCGCTCTGAGGGCCCCTGGTGGGCCCCCTTCTTAGGCGTCAGGCCTAAAGTTTAGGTTTGTCCTGTGAGTATTTGGCCCCCGTCCCCCACCCCCATGGGGAAGGAACCACAGGGCTTCCCCCTCAGCACTCTCCCCGGCACCTGGCACTGCACCCAGCCCAGCACATGGGAGGAGCTCCACCAGTGTCTCCAAGGGCATGGGTGCATGTGTACACATGGGAGAGGGAGTGTGTGTGTGTGTGTGTGTGTGTGTGTGTGTGTGTGTGTGTGCGTGTGCCCGCTCACACATGCCGGGACGAGTCACACCCCAAGACGGCCGCTTGAGACGATGAGCTGTGGGGCAGGAGGCACGCGGTGCGGTGGCTGTCGGTCACTGGAGGTTGTCCTCCAGGGCGGCATCGCCCCACTTTACAGATGATGACCCTGGGCTCTGAGAGGCTGCCCAGCTGGTGAGTGACGGCGCCTGAGTGTGGGTCGCCTGGACCCTCGCGGCACCCCTGGGCCAGGCTCTTGGCTCTCAGGACTGCACTCCCCCTTCCGCCCAGCCCTAAGAGAAGGGATCGTCACCCCGTCATTCAGATGAACAATTCAAGTTCAGAGCGGCAGGGCCATTTTCCCAGGGCTAAGGCACTAGGGAGGAGATGGTGCAGCTGCGGTTTCCAGTCCGGCCTATTGGCCTCCAAAGCGTTGCTCTCTACTCCGTGTGCTCTGGTTTTCAACCTGGGGGGTTTGGCTGTTGTGTTTTTGCAGCGCACCCTTTTGAGATAAAATGTGACTGGAACTCCAAGAGTTAAAATGAATAGACTGTTAAAAATCCAATTAGGCTATGAAAACCGAAAAACTATTCGTGGCAGAGTCTGTAGGGTCCTGAAACACACCAGCCAGCCCAGCCCCTTCCCCCTTCCGCCATCCCCGCAGACACCCGCGGGCCCGTCCAGGGCGCCGGGCGTGGCCGAGGCGGGGG